CTGTAGTTTCCACAAGATACGTCTTTGTTGTAAAAATGCATTCGTTTATACACTAACCCACAAATAACCATTATCAATCACCTGCATCAACTGTGGGATTGTAAATATATTTCAGTCTTATACAATAATTAATTACTGATTACACAACAGTTTTGTTTTTTTACTATATTTCTGTTTGTTACAATGTATTTTTTTTTTCTTTTAGTCCAGGTCATATGTGAAAATAATGTTCACTTTTTCATAAAAGCATGAAACTTGGTACACTTTTATAGTTTGCGGCCCTAAACATTTTCAGAAATGGAGCCATAGCAAAAACACCTTGTGGTTGCCATGGTGACCATTTTACTTTCCGTAAACCAAATTATGTATTTTGTGTCATAGCTCCTAAACCAAACATGATAACACAGAAAAGGTGATGTCTTACCCCTATGTTTTGATGGTCAAGGATTACAATGATACCATATACATAATTTTTTTTCTTTGATAATTAACTAATATTTTATTCAATAATAAATTAAAAGATTGTTTTCAAGAATATTATCATATATTTCAGAGATATATAAAAAATCATCTCAGGTAAGTGTATTTTTCCTTACTTCTCAGGCAGAGTCAGGTAGGCGGTAGTGTGTTTCCAAAGCATTCTTGTTCTCTCTCAAAAACGCTCTAACATCACACGCAGACGGCAACGCAATCAGGTGAACAGTTAATGGTTAATTCAGTGACTTTATGAGAAGGATTACAATGAAATCTCAGGAGATGCATGTGGTGTATTGGGACAATGTGTATTTGTAATTACTTGGTTGATGTCTGGCATCTCATTGGTTCCCGACTTTGGGAGCCAGTATTTAAGTTATGTGATGTGTTGCAGTGATTGACGTATGTATTTACCTGAGTAAAGCGTGTTGATGTTTGCCTCGTTAATACATTATAATGCAGACTGAAATTTCAAACATATTTCATGTAAACTTAATTTACAATCACTCTCTGGGGCCAGAGTTGTCTATTATGTTGTCCACAAGGGGGAAGCCAGAGTCCTGCATGCGGGTGGAATTTCTAGGCTGGACTATTGCAGTGCTCTTCTAGCTGGACTTCCATCATGCGCAATCAAACCTCGACAAATGTTTCAGAATGCAGCGGCACGACTACTCTTCCATGAGCGCACAAGGGCCCACTTCACATCTCACTTTATCTCCCTGCACTGGCTACCGGTTGCAGCTCGCATCAAGTTCAAGACATTGATGTTTGCATACAGAACAGCCACAAGCTCAGCACCCTCCTACTTCCTCCTCACTCTTAGGAATCTACAGGTGCATCTCAATAAATTAGAATGTCGTGGAAAAGTTCATTTATTTCAGTAATTCAACTCAAATTGTGACGATCACCTTTCCTGGCTGGTGAAATGATCTTCCCACAATCGCAGTAATTAACTGAACTCCCAACATGTTATCTGACAGCAACACTATTTTAATCCCATACCCAACCCATTTGACATAAAAACTGGGACCCAAACCACATCTGCATTAAATCTCCTACATGAGGTATACAAAACTAATTTATTAAAACTTTTATTCAAATTGTGAATAGATTAAATACAGAAAGCAAGCAAAGAGCACTCCCTTTAATATAATCACTACAGCTGTCAATTAGTGGCAGCGCGATTGGCTACATTGCTCAGCGTGTACTGGACCGAGTCAAAATATTCTTGGTTATTGGACCCACAACCTGCCCGTGCTTGTCACCGTCTGGCCCGCACCCGCATCACACCCTACACATAATTATTTTTCCACCCATTACATCAAATATTAGCGATTCACCTGCATGTACCTGTCTTTACAATATGGTCCTTGAAGGACAGCTGGTCACCAAAGAATAATTTTTGATGAACCTAGCAGGATGATGAAATCATGCTGTAGAGTCGAAGTGGCAGCGAAAACAAGAAGCTCAGTTTTTGCCAGGTTGAGCTGCAGGTGTTCCTTCATCCATGCCGAGATGTTTGCCAGGCAGCCTGAGATCAAACTGATGATTTGGAATCAGCTTTCGCTATCTGCAGGGCTACAGTTACCAACAGCAAAGTTGAATGGCCGCTGCTGAAACCGGATTGGTTAAGTTCAGTTGGTCATTCTGTGAAATAAATAATGCAACTGTGTCTATAAAGGTTTGAACCAAATGGTCCATTCCATTAGAATAACAAAGGAACAGCATTCCTCAGGAATGTCTTGTAGATTGCAGGATCTCCAGCGGGAAGGTCCTAACAGTATTGTTTCTAGCCATTTTGTCTTCAGGTATAAAATTACATCCCACAGACAGAACTTTGGGAGAAGCTAGGATTCATACAAGGGTAAAATTGTTTGAAGGAAGACATGCTAACGTTGCTATTGAAGAACTGCTACACTACCATCTTCAATAAATTCTTCTCTCTACAAAAATTTTGGTCAAGCCTACTTCATTTTTTTGTATTTGATAAATCTAGTACATTGGTGAGCCACCCGAAAGACTGCTCAGCAAAAACACAATAAATATGATAATACATGGGGAAAATTTTAGGTATTATGCACTGGCCTGTCTAGACAGATATTGTCTTGAAAAGAAGTTAAAGTGGATCATAAAGTGTCAGTTGCTGTATTTACATCCAGAGATGAGAAATGGGTGGGTGAGGGAAGAGAGGATGACACTACAGAGGAAAGATGGAAGGGTGAAAGGGAGTGTAGGTTTGGAAGATGAATGAAGCTAGGAGTGGAAGAGGAAGTCTGCAGTGTAAGGCTTCTCCAGATGGATTTCGAAGTCACCAAATACTACAAGTGGACTGCCATCAACAGAGAATGAGGACAGCAGCCTATACAGCTCCTCTATAAAGGTGCCCAGTTGACCAGGAAGGCAATAAATCATTACAATATGGAGTACAACAGGAGCTGTTACCATAATAGCATAAAACTCAAAATAATTTTTATTGCACAGGGAAGAGTGGGTTGAGTAATTCCAATTATTAGAAATGAGAAGACCAGTACCCTTCCAACCTGACGGGGGGTGTGAGAGAAAGGGAAGTTGTTAGAGAGAACAGCAGGGGTTGCGGAGTCTTCTGGATGAATCCAGGTCTCAGTCGAGCCCAAGATACTAAGAGTAGACTGAGAAGCAATGGCCAGAATGAAGTTTGTTGACAGATGACTGACAATTCCAGAGACCCACAGAAAATGACACAGGTGCAGCAGAAGGGGTGCAGATAGGATGCAGTTTAGCAAGATTGCATTGCCGTCTGCGTGTGATGTTACAGTATTGTTGAGAGAGAACAAGAATGTATTGGAAACATACTACCGCCTACCTGACTCTGCCCGAGCGGTAAGGAAATATACACTTACCTGAGATTATATTTTTTTTATATCTCTGAAATAAATGATTGTTTTCTTGAAAAAAAATTGAATAAAATATTAGTTAAGCTGGTGTGTGGTGGGCATTCTGGCGTAATATGGCTGCAGTCGCATCATCCAGGTGGATGCTGCACATTGGTGGTGGTTGAGGAGATTCATGTAAAGCGCTTTGAGTACCCAGAAAAGTGCTATATAAATGTAACGAATTAATAATTAATTAATTAAAGCAATCTTTTATTGTACTATTGAATAAAATATTAGTTAATTATCAAAGAAAGAAAAAATAATAATAGCCATATTGACTTTTGTAAATGCTATGATGATGCTCAGATACTGTTATTTCCTTCTCACATTGCTGATTTCACCATTAATTCTTTACCTGAACAGTTATGTTGTTGTATGTGATATCATTGTAATCCTTGACCATCAAAACATAGGGGTAGACATCACCTTTTCTGTGTTATCATGTTTGGTTCAGCACATATGACACAAAATACATAATTTGGTTATGGTGGAAAGTAAAATGGTCACCATGGCAACCACAAGGTGTTTTTGCAATGGCTCCATTTCTGAAAATGTTCAGGGCCCTAACCTGTACAACTGTACCAAGTTTCATGCTTTTATGAAACAGTGAACATATCACCTCAAATTTTGCACAAATCACCTGGACTAATTAGAAAAACTTGTATGGTTTGGTGAAATAATCAGCCTCGCACCATGTCTAGTGATTTAGTATTCGCCCAAAATGTGGTTATATGCATTTATTACAGAGGAAGTTGTACTAGGAGTAGTGGTTTATATAAAAGCAGAAGTAATTCTGATAACTAAAAACTGCAACAACAGCAGATGGAGAGAATGGAAAGTGATAACTTTAACTAAATGGATAACTGGAGCAATCATATTAAATGTAAATTTAAATGATGGGAACAAAAGGAATAACACTTTAGTAAAATTTTAATGAGGCAATAGAATATTGAAAAATGAGAAATAGAAATTATTGAAATAAAAAAAAAAGCGTCAGCTAAAATACTGAGATGTAATATGATGGGTTAAAAGGATGTATATTGGATAAGAAAAGGGGGATAAACCAAATTTTTGTATATGCTTTACAATTTGGGCCCCAACATGATATTATAAGAGATATGGTGCTTAGAGAAGATGTGTCGAGACCAAAAAGGGGAAAAATTTAGATCAAGGAGTATACATGAATGTTTTTGGGGAAATTAAGAAAAATACAAGAGGTCAAATTAATTGATGAAGTTAAACAAAAGGACCAATGCCTTTGAGGGGTACATGCAACTGAAGATGAGAGAGTAATAAATGAGATAGACTGAACCAGGAAATAGCAAGAAGGGGGTGTTTTGGATATGGATATTGATATTGCTATTGCTATTTATGTGTTTCAATGCTATGTTATTTGCTTGTTTTTATGTTAACGCCATATATGCTTTGCTATAAAAATGCTTGTACTTGCAATACTTTAAGACAGGATGAATAAGCAACAGTTGTGAAAGTTAGGTTTATTTAGTTTGATGCTCTGTAATCAACCATTAAGTTTGGCAAGAGTATACAGAGGGGTTGAGAGAGCATGTTGCAACATCAAGAGGACACGAAACAGACAAAGACATACGGTAAAGAGGCAGAGTGCTAGACGCAGAGAGCAACATAAGCGTCAGAGGAAGTATATCCGCCTTATTAGACATGAGTTACACAGTATTCCCCAAAAAGAAACATATAAAGTCTGAGTAAACCACTCTTCAGATGCTGCCTGCATTAAGCGTAAAGGACACCTTATACCCTATTGATGAGTGCTTAACAGCATCTCCAATGTTGCTGTTTAAAGTTTGATTTTAGAACTCATATCTTAACTGATTTTAAGTTATATTTTTGCATTAAATGCTTTGTATTGTAACTAATAAGAGACTTTATTGTTGCGACTGCCTGCCGTGAGACTTTACTTGTAACTACAAACTGAGCCTCAAACAAGAACAACCACAAGGGAGTCTTCTACGTCATTCCTGAAGAACTTCAACCTGCGGACGGGTGAGTGCTTCATGGTTTAGGCTAGATCTGACTATCCTTGCCCTCAGGGCCGGTTCTAGACCTTTTGAGGCCCTAGGCAAAATTCATGTTGGAGGTCCCCGAACCTCAATAAAAAGCACTTAAAAACAAATGTGATTACCTTTTTATTTATACAACTTTAAATTTGGTATATTTTTACGTATACAGTACCATATACAGTATCTCTTTTTTGGTTGTTGAGGATGTTATTATAGCCGTGATTATTATTGTTATTATTTTGCAGCAGTTTGTTCATTAATTTATTCACAGTTCCTGAATTCCACTTCAGTAAATGAACATCATTGCTTATCATTTCTTTAATCAATTTTGACTACAGATACTGTCATATTAATATTAATTATATAATATGTATTGCATTGTTTCCTTAAATATGAACTATATACACAAATCAAGTGGAAGTGAACAAGACGATCACTACTAAGCAGAAGTGAGGTTAATTTCTAGTTAGTTGAAACTGAAATGAAGTGTTATGTTAGAGCAGTAAGACAAGCATCAGCAGAATTTAGAAGATACACACATATGAGTTTTTTTTTTTTTTTGAAACATAAATGTTCTATTGTGTTTGCTTTTTGACTTTGAATACAAACCTCTTTGCTTTTACTTTTGTAGCTATTTTGCTAGTCAGTTCCCGACGCGATTTGAATGCCAAATTTGTGCATTCAAAAACTGCTTTGCAACCAGAAGCTTTAACTTAGCTTTGGCTACCTGAAATTAAGGAAAGGACTAGAGATGTTAAAACAATTGGTAAATCTGATAAAAGACAGACAAATTCATCCAAATAAAATAAATTGTTTTATATATTTCAAAAATACAAATGTATCAAAAATAAAAATAATTTTTTATTCTCTCTCTCACACACACACACACACACACACACACACAGAGAGAGAGAGACAGAGAGAGAGAGAGAGAGAGAGAGAGAGAGAGCTTGACATACATGCTCTGGAACAAGTTCTGCAATCCTACTATATTTGTGTACAGTATGTACATTGAGCACTGCAGTTGGCTCATTTGTGGCCAAATTTGTCTTTTTGAAATATATAAAGGTATTTTATTTGGATGCTTTTTTCTGTCTTTTATCAGATTTACCAACTGTTATTGTTATTCTATTTGTGCTGGTCAATTATGAACAACAGGTTCATACAATAGGCACTGTAACTGCTAGCAAGAACTTGAGAGAATTGGGTGGGGCCGAGGGGCCGCTGCTGCAAATATTTGAGTGGCTCCTCCCCTAACAGATGTAATCTCACTTCAAACTTTTGATATAATTTGAGAGCCCTGGTTAAAGGTAAGATAAAAGGACACACCGAGTAACACTATACACTGTTCCATTGTGTGCAATCTTTGTGGATAGAAGTAAATGGGGATCACAACACTCCTCATTTGCTCAGACATGATATTTCTATAACCTGCTGCATTCTGAAATAGTCTAATTTTGATACTAATATTCTGAGAAATAAAGACAAGGCTGAGTTAAAGAGATGTGGAGGCAGTTTCATTGCCATTTGTGCTTCTCATTGCCATTTCCTGAGGAAATAGTGGTTGTAATGTTTTTTTTTTTTTTTTTTTTTACAAAAAGGC